TCATCTAAATATTTACTTTACCAGCTGATAGAGCTTAATTTCAGCTATCTGTTTAGTCATCTAAATATTTACTTTACCGGCTGATAGAGCTTAATTTCAGCTATCTGTTTAGTCATCTAAATATTTACTTTACCAGCTGATAGAGCTTAATACAGCAAAATCATAATTGAATTTTTTTTTCAGTAATAATGGATTAAAATATCACCATACTAGATGTAAAAGTTGTAACCAAGGTGATACAGCGGGAGGGAGAGGAGAGAAAGATACAAAAAATAATACAGGTCTGATTCTTATTAATCTACACCCAACTCTAGTACTAGTATTTCCTTTGTGGGTACCAGGAAACGGCACAGAGGTACCTGAAATGTCCTTCAGTCCGGGCCCGTAGCCAGACGTGATTGTTCGGTCGGAGGTGCAAGTGATATATCCGGAGGGGAAATTAAGAGGGGGGGGGGGGGAGCAGGTGGAGGGGAGGGGTGCAATATTTTGATATTCTGATGGTGCTTTTCATTCCTTTCGAGAGCGGAAGCCTTGGGCTTTGAGCTAGAGAAGGAGTGCACAAACTGAACAACAGAGTTAATGGATTGTTAAAAGGTTTTCTAATCTTTGTATGTGTATCGGAGACACTGTAAGAATCGATTTGCACTATTCCAATTTTCAATCAGATGTCGGCGAATATTGCAATTACATTTTAAACTAAGTATTTTATGGCATAGCTTTTACGAAAAGTGACGTCATTTACATTATGATTTTCAATATAATGGAACTATATTTTCAAATATCGTTGCCACAATGTCTATTCTTATCATAAATCAAACAATCTAATTTTAGAGTTTCGACGGTCGACGAGAACATCACCATTAGGTATTACTGTCAGTGGTGAAGCGGAGGATATCAAACCGAGGATAGTAGACGATAACCGACTGAGAGATTTAGCTATAATTGCTACTGGACCGTCCAGTCCGTTACTACAGAATATTTCATTTACAGACAGACTCGAGTCAGAGTAAGTTATACTCTTTTATTACATTCGGCAAACCTTGGTAGTTTCCGTAAAGCTGAATCTTTGTTGTAGAGCTCTGGCGGAATTTTCATAGTACACAGACATCTGAAGAGGAGTACTTAGTGTATAATAAAGATATAAATATTGACATCTTCTCAAAGTCAAGATATTACGAACTACGTCAGATACCTTGACAATCAATATTGATACGATTAGTGGCTCAAGTAGATTGGTGAGGGCCCGTGAACGTAAGTCAAATTGGGCCACTTCCCCGGGAAATTGATTAAATGCCCCCCTGCCCCACCCACCTAAGGCTTGGTTTAATCTGTCCCTATGGTAGTTAACCCACTGATTATGATGTTTATTTTAGAAGATGTAGTCGAACTGTAAAACGAGCTCTTGATCTATCGTCGAAGTCGAAAGTTGAACATAAACCTGGGTAAGTGAACACTGAATAAAACAGGGCCTGATTTCATAAACCTGGGTAAGTCAACACTGAATAAAACAGGGCCTGTTTTCAGAAACCTGGGTAAGTCAACACTGAATAAAACAGGGCCTGTTTTCATAAACCCGGGTAAGTCAACACTGAATAAAACAGGGCCTGTTTTCATAGGGAGATGAGATATAAGAACACTACCAACTAGCATGAATAAAATATCAAAATTTTAGACTTGGCCAAAATCAATCTATGTTCATCAGTAGACTTACCTGGTGTCAAAACTAAACAACAGAATTATACCGGTTTATATGATATATTCATAAATCTTATCAATCATTCATAAAACTATAAAACATAAAACATAAAGGTAATTATTGAACAAAAAAACAAACCGTACTGCTTATGATATTCAAAGGTTTCTTGAGTATGTTCATTAATACAAAACAATCTGTTCCATATGTAGAAGCGTGTTGATTGGTTGGTTTGAAAATCATGTGACATCTCTCAAACGAGGTTTGCCTGCTAAAGTGAAACACGGTAGAAATATATTATAATTAATCTATATTTCTGTTTCAGTTTGATTCTGTCTCAGTTAGATAAGTCAGCAGTAATAACTCTCAGTAACATGGCCAAGGTCAGCCACTTCTTTTCTTTATTTTATATCATTATTCTGGTCAGTAGCCATTGGGTCATGGTCTCCCCCTCTAGCCATTGGGTCATGGCCTCCCCCTCTAGCCATTGGGTCATGGTCTCCCCCTCTAGCCATTGGGTCATGGTCTCCCCCTCTAGCCATTGGGTCATGGTCTCCCCCTCTAGCAATCGGGCCATGGTCTCTCCCTCGGGCCATTGGGCAATGGTCTCCCCCTCTGGCAATCGGGTCATGGCCTCCCCCGCTGGCAATCGGGTCATGGCCTCCCCCTCTGGTAATCGGGCCATGGCCTCCCCCTCTGGCAATCGGGTCATGGTCTTCCCCTCTGGAAATTGGGCCATGGTCTCTTGCTCGGGCCATTGGGCCATGGCCTTCCCCTCTGGAAATTGGGCCATGGTCTCTCCCTCGTGCCATTGGGCCATGGCCTTCCCCTCTGGCCATTGGGCCATGATCTTCCCCTCCGGCAATCGGGTCATGGTCTTCCATTCTGGAAATTGAGCCATGGTCTCTCCCCGGGCCGTTGGGCCATGGCCTTCCCCTCTGGCCATTGGGCCATGATCTCCCCCCCCCCCCTGGCCATTGGGCAATGGTCTCTCCCTCTGGCCATGGTCTCCCAATCGGACCTCTGAGTGGTCTTATTCTGATGTGCAAATTAAGCCCAGCCCTCTAAATGCTCAGAATTCATCCTAGGTCATCTGTAATGGGAGTCAGAGAAGACTGAATCTTACTCATTTCCATCGTTTAAAGCCCCAGCCCAGACACCATTTCATCAACCTTCGCTTTTGCGTTCAATTATGTATCAACCTTCGCCAATGTTCGTCAATCTCTGTGAGTTGAACATTGACTCGACCGTGAAAGGGAGACATATTGTCAGGTAAATTAGCGAGAACAGATAACTCTGTTTGAAGATTGATTTTGATTGGCTAGAATAGCGTAGTAATATGGCGTTCGGTCAATATACGAGGGTAATAAGCAGCAATCTAGTCCCGAAGTTGATACGAGTGAAGAGGCCCAAGGTATATTTTAATGGAGTTGTTGCCCTTCAAAAAAGTCAAATAACATCTCTTGGAATAGGTTGTACATGTGAAAGATCTCTGGACAGATCGAATCCGAGAAGTTGCATTATAATGTTGCTGTCCACAATTACCTCATTCCACACTGCATAACATTGCTCATCTTCAGTCCAATGAGGTGTAGAAAAACTGAACGTAAAACTCCATTCATTTCAGTGTTTAGTTTTGAAAAGAGTTACTTCCCTTGAAATCGAAATTGGTAGATGAATACGGATTTTTTTTTTCAGACCTTTGAGTTGAGCGTGAATACTCTTTAAGTTTGTCTTTGTGATCGACTTAAGCATACTTAGTTTCCTATGTTCAAGCTACTTGTTGATTCGACTAGTTCATTACAGGCTTTTAAATATGAAGTCTTCAAACGTACGGTGGTTTGCTTTAGGACATTATTTTAATTATGATTTAATTCTACTTATTTTTCATTTTTGTTTGCTGAATTATAATTTTTGTTTACTATTTTTTATATTCAGTAAACAAAAATAATAATTCAGAAATCAAAAATGATAAAGAAGTAGAATTAAATGATCATTCAGCAAATTAAAATGACAAACAGTAAACAAAAATAACAAAGAATTAGAAATTAAATCATGTCCTAAACAAACCACCGTAGAAACATCATCTAATTATTTTTAAATTCTAGAGAAAGTATGGTAAAGAGTCTAACGTGAAGCCGCCCCCAGAATTACAAATTACAACCAAAGTAAAACGTCCTATGAATGGATTTTTGATTTTCGCTAAAAGAAAAGGATTATTTTACCAAGAGAAATTCCCTCACAAGGACAACCGGTCAGTTGAAATTTATTATAAACATAACA